TTAAAAGATAATTAATTTCGAAAAAAGAAGAAGAGTAAAAGGGTAGACTGCTTACACGAATGCTCTAATACAATAATCAAACTAAATACATTGGTTTGACTACATTAAACATAACATTAAAAACATCTACAACAAAAGAAAAACTAATTTCCAAGCGGCACCCAATACCTGCAAGCAAATAAACAGTTGCAAATTAGATGCAACAGAATAGTGCTAAAGCAGAAGTAAAAGTATTGGAATAAAAATAACGGTGCTAGGGCAGAAGAAAAGTGCAAAAACTAAATAATTGCTTTCAAATTCACTCTAAATCAAACCTTTAGATAACTTCTAAATGAAGTAGTAAATCCTATTCTTAACCAATATATTAGGTGAGATTCAAAGTGAAGTAAGAAACCCTGAAACAAACCTTTAGGCTACTTATAAATGAAGCTGTAAGACCTATTCTTAACCTACTCATTAGGGAGCTTCTAAGTGACTTAACAAACTTTAAGTTGAACTAATAGGAAACTTCTAAGAGAAGCCATAAACTCTATACTAAATCAAAACACCAGACAACTTCTAAATGGAGCTATAAGCCCCAAACTAAACAAATTAAAACGTCGGGTAACTCCTAAAAAGAGCCGTAAGCCCCAAACTAAATAAACCAAAATACCAGAAAACTCTTAAATTTAACTGTAAACCTCAAACTAAATAAACCAAAACACAAGGAAACTCCTAAATGAAGCCGTAAGCCCCAAAATAAATAAACCAAAACACAGGCTACTAAATTTCCCCATAGCAAGACATTTTTCCCATAGCATGGTGCCTTATAGAAAGGAATTTGCTTAGACAATACTTTAATAATGCCACCCGTGCCCTTGCTTTGGCTTGCTTATGTTCGTGGCTGAGTCACCTTAATAACACTGACATGATTTTTTTTTTTTGACAATGTAAATTTAGATGAAATTTTACTCTCCATGATAACGAAAGTTCTTTTTGTTGTGTGCTTCACATGTTTTTGTTTAATTTGTCCACCAAATCACCTCGCATTGCTTAGGAAGATGCACATTCTATACGCTTTAAGATATATCAAAAAATAGATTCTCAAATTTCGTATTTTTTTTTCTAAAATTTGTGGAAACAATATATCTTATAGCTATTTTGAATCCTTGCTTTGCTCCATGTATTTTATAGAACTTTATAGATTTTTTTTAAATTGCTTCTAAGCTAGAAAACCTACATTTTTCTTTATTTTAATTGCCATATTTAATTATTTCAAGTTTTTATTTCAGAAATGTATAAAAGTAACCTCAAATTGTTTAGGTGATCATTACATTCCTTTGTTTTGCTCTGTGGATTTATCAAAGTGTATAATAGTTGCTTTATAATGGTTTCATGCGTTGGATCGACAGTTATTTTGTTACAGTTTAAATATATCCGATGGAAGTTTCTTGCAGTTCAAATTGGAATGCTATGCCATTGCAAAGATGTGTCAACCCTAAACCTCCAGCTAGTCCCCATCCCCAAGCCCCTTCCTCTTTTCCGTTGTCAGTTGCCTTAGCTTGTTTCCTTAATGCAGTACTGTCAATAAAGTAGAGCACAGAGCTATGAGTTTTAATGTTTTTTTTTACCGCAACTTATTTTGTGGATTCATTTTCTGATTGTGCTTGGGAGAAGCCAGAACAAGATTTTTTTTTTTTGATAATGTAAATGTTGATGAATTTTACTCTCCGTGATAACTGAAGTTCTTCTGGATGTGTGTTTCACATGTTTTTGTTAATTTTGCGCACCAAATCATCTTGCATTGCTTATGAAGATGCACATTCTATACGCTTGAAGATTTATAACAAAACATAGATTATCAAAATTCGTATTTTTTTTTCCTGAAATTTGTGGAAACAATATATCTTTAGCTGTTTTAACTCCTTGCTTACTTCAGGAATTTTATAGAACTTCGTAGATTTTTTAATTGCCTGCATTTTTTCTTTATTTTGATTGACATATTTAATTATTTCAAGTTTTTATTTCAGAAATGTATAACAGTAATTTAAGGTTTTTTTTCCCTTCAAATTTGGTGGGGGCAAGAAATATAGGGAGTCTATACCCCTCGCCCACACGAGAGATTTGCCCTTAACCAACGACCCACTAAATCACGAATGATGCGACTAAGATGAGGAAGAATAAACTCTTCCATTTCAAATTAAACTAAAAAGAAGAAATTTTTAAAAACATTACAAACGACGACGGATTACAACTTTTGACTCGAAATCAAAGACACCCGAAAGTTGCTTTACTTAGAGACGAAAGATACAGATGGAGTGGCACTTGCGGAGAGACGAAAGAGATTAGAAGCCGAGACGAAAGGTTGGAAAGAGCTTGCAAGATTTTCGGAGGGGATGAGAAAGAAGACGGACAAAGCTCGCAAGCTTTTCCAATAACTCGCAGGTTAGATTCCAAAAATCACATAACATTCACTATTTCAAACATTACAAGCCCCTCATATTTATAGGTATGAAAGGGGAATACAAAAGGACACTAACATTAATTTTCACAAGAACCTAAACATCATAAGCATGGAAACCCCCTCCCATGCATTCACGGAAAACCTCCCAAGCCCAGGAGCCGAAGGAGCAGCCGCGGGAGCCAAGGAGGCCGCACGGAACCAAGGCGCCACATCCACGGGAAAACACCCAGGCTCGGAAAACCAGCAGCCGGCCGGAAATCCAAGAGGCAAAGCACGGAAAACAGCAGCCCATGGTGGAAGCCAAGGAGCCAGGGCATGGGAAACAACACATCTTGGAATTCCAAAAGCCGGTTTGGAATTCCAAGGGAAAAACATAATTAAAGACATAAAAACAATAAAAAGTACAATTAATAAAAGATAACTATGAACTAAAATGTTAGCTAATAATGAGCTAACCCTTAGTTCAATAAATGAACTAAAGACCAGCTCATAAATGAGCTAATATTTCAGCTCAATTTTGATTGAGCTTGTAAACTCGAGGGAGGCCAAAATTGATTTATTTTGGACATGAGTTGACCCCCCCTTTGTCTACATCAAAATTGTTTAGGTGATCATTACACCCTTTGTTTTGCTCTATGGATTTATCCCAGTGTATAATTTAGTTGCTTTATAACGGTTTCATGAGTTGGGTCGCCAATGGGAACTTTTTGCAGTTTAAATTGGAATGCTATGCCATTGCAAAAACGTTTCAACCCTAAGCCTCCTTTTAGAGAGAGCCCACTTCAACAACCCCAGCACCCAGCCACTCACCCCTCCCCGCTCCCCACGCCCCCTTCCTCTTTTCCTTTGTCTGTTCCCTTAGCTTGTTTCCTTTATGCTGTACTGTCGATAAAGTAGAGCACAGAGCTATGAGTTTTAATGTTTTAGCTGACCGCAACTTTCTTTGTGGATTTATTTTCTGATTGTGCTTGGAGAAGCCATAACAAGAAAGAAAACTATATGAGTACACTTGTGTGGTGCTTGTACTAATCCTGAACCCAATTTCAGATGACCAATTGCAGCCGTACTATGTTGAGGAATTTAAATCAAGATGCTGAAACTTGTCTGTAGGAGTGAAAATGAGCCGATTTCATGCTAATCTGGTCCAGCTTAAATTGGTTCAAACATATATTGGCCAGCTCAAAATTTGCTCATGGTTCTCATTGGTCTGATTTTGGCCCGGTTAAATTTTGAACTGCCTTTTTTCTTTATAAAATTTGGATTCAATGAAAGAATAGATTGACGTTTGGGCTAACTTTTGGAGCCCTTTCTTTAACTCTTCCCCCCGCAACTGCTGCTGCCAAACCCCGCACTCTCTTCCATCCAGCTATTACTGAAATCTATCCTATTGCCAAGAAGTCTGTTTAATGTGTTACTTACATCAAACTTCCCAAAAAAAAAAAAAACAACATAATATTGCCAAGAAGTCTGTTTCTTCTTAGCTTGATTGAGAAAGGACAAAGAGAACTTGAGGCAAGGAAGTTATAAGGAGTTTAGTTGAACTTGCTGGTTAAGAATGGAATTATCCGTATGAATGTAGAAGGCTGTCCATTTCAAGTAACATCTATATGTGGTTTAATACATGTTTTGACCTTTCCTAAGATTTATTTTTTCTTTTGTTATTTGTTGATGTTGTGTTTCTAATTCTTGGTTTCATTAATTATAGTGACCTCTTTTTATTTTTGTGTTAAGTTGTGGAGCCTAATTTTTGGCCCATGAAGAAAATGTGTTGCACAGACTTAATCATGATTTAACTTTCATAGTAAGGTCATCATAGTAGTGGGGGTGGGCAACTTCTTACCAGGGATTTGGCGGCGGCAAAGCCCGCGATATGTATCCAATTCTTGCTATCATTTTATTAAGGGCATTTTGAAACTCTATTGTATTTTTTGGCCGTCCTATATTATTTTCTTCATGAAGAATGAAAGGGCATTATTTAGTGTTTTATAAGAGAAGCAATGATTGTATTTTATCCATAATCTGATCGGAATGAAATATTCAATGAAAGCAGTAGGATATAGTCAGCAGTTTGGTGAGATTGTTTAAAATTTGTGTTTTTGTGGATTGATTTTTTTTTTTGTTCTTTTTCTTGTTCTTTCTGTTTGAATTAGGTTTTATCTACTTCTTAACAATTTGTTCTCTTTCTGGGCATTTTGTGGTTGTTTTTGCTTGCTTGCATTGGATGAGTGAAAATTAATCTGTTCATGCTTGATTTGTTAAGGGTATTTATAAAAATGAGAAAATAATCAAAATGATCCATTGACTCTTTATGAAAGATTAAAATAGTCCTCAACTATATGAAAGAATCATTTTGATCCCTCAACTTAAAAATCAAGCATGTATCTTCAAAAATCATTTAAGGTGTGGCATTAAGCCACATGGACTTTATAGAGCCTTATGATTATCATTGCAGCTATATATGGCATATGTGGGATGTTGCAATGGTCAATTGCGAATTTTTTTTTCCTGGCGCATCAAGCATGTTCACCATACTAATTGATATCCTATTTCCTTTTAGGATGCTTTGGAATTCTTTTTGCATCTTCTTGACCAAGTTGGGCAGGCCCATGCGGGAAAACCAGAATTAGATCCCTCGAGGAGTTTTAAATTCTTTATTGAAGAGCGTCTTCAATGTCCATCTGGAAAAGTTGCTTATAATAAAAGGGCTGATTATATCCTCTCTTTGAATATTCCACTCTCGGAAGCTACTAATAAAGGTACTCACATGTGCAAACTTAGAGTGTGTTAAAAAAGCATGGCTATTTTTTTTTTCATCTTTGCTCTAATATTACAGAGCAATTGGAAGCAAGTAACAAGTTAAAGTCGGAGAAGTCTGTGGCCGAAAAGCAATCGTAAATTCTGATTTTTTTGTCATTCTTTCCTATTTTAGGATTGCCCATTTTTCCCTTTTTTTACCAGAGGGTCACTAAAACCATTTCGTGACCACAGAATTAATCATGAAGTTGTACGGCCCAGAGTCCCTTTAGAAGCATGCCTTAAATGTTTTTCAGAACCGGAGGAGGTGCATGATTTCTATAGCACTGCACTTAATGAAAAGACAACAGCAATCAAGTGAGTACAATATCACAGTGAGAGGCTCTTCATACTTGACAGTAGTAGTACAGTTTAGAAAGCTGGATAAGACATTACATGCTATATATACATTTCACATTATGTGTCTACTTTATTCATGAAACATTATGGCAATTATCCTGTGATAGATTTATTCAAGCTATAAAAAGGGTGTTGATGCAGTATTAAGGGTGTCAATAAATAGCTTGACTTGCCGGTCAGGTTTGGATCCGATCTGAAAAATTCAGGTTCAAGTTGACTTGTTTAATAAATGGGTCGGATGAGGTTTGGAAATTGATAGGAAGTACTTGAGTTCGCAAGTAACCCTAAGGTAATACTTGAGTTCGCAAGCAAAGCTAATCGAAATCAGTGAGAAAACAAAGCACAAACGGCTGTTTGTAAAATGAAATCAGCCAAACGCAGCAGTTTTTATGAGAGAACAATAAAAAACTTGGAGAAAAACGATGGAATTCACTAATAGATGTAAGAAAACAATAAAAGATACAATGTTCTTCGATTCGAGAGGAAGAACAACTCTCCACAAGTCTCTAGCAAACCCTATAGCCCAAGCACACGATGAGATCTCAAATTTTCATTCAAAATCAAGATGAGCCCTAGTTCCGTCCTAATCACCTAATTAACCATAAAGGAGAAATACAAAATACACCAAAACAACCCTTCCCATTCAAAATTTCCCTCAAATACTAATTTTCACTCATGCTTGGGCCCACCATGAGCCCCCCCCCCCGGCCGCCTGGTTTCGCCGGGTGTAGAACCGGACCGGTCCAGCCGGCCCCTTCTGGAATGGCGTAACATTACTCCCCTCTTAAAGATTCACCTTGTCCTCAAGGTGAAAGGAAGGGAATTGATCTTTCATTCTTTCAAATGGCTCCCAAGTCGCATCGAACTCGGGGAGACCTTTCCATCCAATCAACACTTCTTTCTCTCTTTTTATATCTGATCTGACGCCTCGTAGCTCTAGTGGTTCTAACATCATTTCCAAATCCTTAGTCAGTGTCTTTAGTAACTCCGTAGTCACTGCATGCTCCCTAATAGCTCTCCTCAATTGGGATACATGGAAAACTGGGTGTATGATAGCTGATGGGGGCAGCTTCAGTCTGTATGCCACTTCCCCAATCTTGCCCAAGACTTCATAGGGGCCGAAGTACCTTGGTGCCAATTTCTCATTCATCCTTCTCGCCATTATCCTTTGCCTGTAGGGTCGTAATTTTAGGAATATCTTCTCCCCCACTTCAAATTGAATGTCTCTCCTGTGTGAGTTTGCCTTCTTCTTCATGATTTGTTGTGCCCTAAGCAGATGCGTCTTTAACTCCTTCAGCACGTTGTCCCTTTCTTCCAGGTAATGCTCAACTAAAGAAACCAGTGTACTTCCTCTCCCATAGTGCACTAGGTGTGGGGGTCCCTTTCATATAGTACTTTAAATGGAGTCATCTGAGAGGCAGAATGGTACGATGTATTGTACCAATACTCGGCCCATGACAACCACTTTGCCCACAACCGCGGTGTTTCAGAAGCAAAACACCTCAAATAGTTCTCCAAACTTCGGTTTACCACCTTCGTTTGCCCATCTGTCTATGGATGGTAGGCGGTGCTTCTTTTTAGGACAGTGCCCTGCATCTTGAACAGCTCCCTCCAAAATTAGATGAGGAATACTTTGTCTCGATCAGACAATCGATTTAGGGATCCCATGCAGTCTCACAACCTCCCTGATAAATGCTGATGCTATTGACATTGCGTTATAAGAATGTTGCAAGAGGATGAAATGTGCATATTTGCTAAGTCTATCAACCACCACCATGATGACTGTGAATCCTTCTGATTTTGGTAAGCCGTTGAAGAAATCCATGGTCACTTCCTCCCAAACTCTGTTTGGAAGTGTCAATGGTTGTAGTAATCCTTCTGGAGCCATGACCATGTATTTGTTTCTCTGGCACACTTCACACCTCGCCACCATCTCCTCAACATCTTTATGCATCCCCTTTCAGTAGAGCTCAGTTGCTAGCCTCCTGTATGTCTTCTGAACTCCTAAATGGCCTCCAACTACGCTGCCATGGAACTCCTGCAACAAGTGGGGAATATGTATGGAGGTTCGTGACATCACAAACCTTCCTTGATACAATAGTCTCTCTGCCTCAATGCAGTAACCAGAATGGCTACTCTTGTCTTTCCTTAGATCTTCCCTGATCTTTCTCTATTCTTCATTCAGCATGCTTTCTTCCTTGGTGCCCCCCCAGTCGACCATCAAATGTACAGACAGCCAATTCATGGAGCTCCCCCACACACCTGGATAAAGCGTCAGCTGCTTTATTTTTTGGGCCTGGCATGTACTGAATCTCAAAATCATAGCCCAATAGTTTGGATAGCCATCGCTGATACTCCTCAGTTTCCATTCTTTGCTCCAAGAGGTACTTTAAGCTCCTATAATCAGTCCGAACGATGAAGTGTCAACCAAAAAGATAAGGGTGCCACTTCTAAATAGCCAATACAATGGCCATCAACTCCCTATTGTACACTGACTTCAGTCTTGCCCTGGTTCATAGCACTCGACTGAAGTATGCTATAGGCCTGTGGATTTGCATCAACACCGCCCCCAACCCATATCCTGATGCATCGGTCTCTACTACAAAGATCTGGCTAAAGTTTGGAAGAGTTAGAACAAGAATAGTGGTCTTGACTTCCTTTAACCTCTCGAAGGCCTGGGTCGCTGCCTCTTCCCATGAAAAATTGTATTTCTTTAGTTGCTCAGTCAAAGGCCATACAACGGTACCGTACCCCTTCACAAATTTCATGTAATAACTAATCAATCCTAGAAAATCCCTTAACTCTCTTATGTTCCTAGGCAATTGGCCATTTTTGCATTGCCTCAATCTTGGTTTGGTCCGCCGCCACTCCTTGGGATACCACATGTCCCAAGTACTTCACACTTGCCTGAGCAAAGCTTCATTTCTTCAAGTTAGCTTTCAGCTGATGCTCCTGAAGCACTTCTAAGACCACTCTCAAATGTTCCAAGTGCTCCTCCGCAGTCTTGCTGTACACTAGAATGTCATAAAAAAAGATCAGGACAAACTTCTTGAGGTGCTGCTTGAATATAATGTTCATCAAAGACTGAAAAGTAGCAGGAGTGTTAGTCAATCCAAAGATTACCAGAAATTTATAATGCCCTTCATGTGTCCTGAAGGCTGTCTTTGGAACATCTTCCTCCTTCATTCTGATCTGGTGCTGTCCGAATTTTAAGTCCAACTTGGAAAACATCATTTCCCCATATAGCTCGTCGAATAGCTCATCAATCGCTAGAATTGGAAACTTGTTTGGTACCGTGCCCCTACTCAGAGCCATGTAATCCACACAGAATCTCCAACTCCCATAATTCTTCTTAACGAGGAGAATTGGACTAGAAAAAAGACTAATGTTTGGTCTGATGATCCCCGCCTCCAGCATTTCCTGGATCAACTTCTCATCTTTTTGAATCTGTGAGTAATGGTAAGGGCGACCGCTGATCGGTGTTTCCCCTTCCTTCAAGGTAATGGCGTGCTTCAGTTCCCTCAGAGGATGTAAACCCTAGGGAGGTTGAAAAATCTCGCTGAACTGTTGTATGAACGGCTGCACTGAAGAGGGAACATTGCCTTCTTCCTCTAGTCTAACCCCTCAAGGCGGTGCAACTCCACCAAGTAGCCTCCTCCCTCCTCCTGAATGGTCCTAGTTAGGGATTTGAGAGAAACCCCAGCCTTGTTCAGCCCAGCATCACCCCGAGTCATCCTCCTCCCCATCACCAGCTCCATCCTCAGTGTACCCCAATTGATCTTGGTCTCCCCCAATGTCTGCTGCCACTTCATCCCTAGGATGACGTCAGTACTCCCCAATTCTAATGGAAGGAAGTCCTCCATCACCTGGATCCCCTGAATCTTCAACACCACCTCTATGCAAACTCCTCTGCCAATTTCCACATTTCTCTGCCCATCATCACCCCATAGCCTCCGGTATCCACTAACTCCATCCCAAGTAGCTCAACAATCTGGGTGGAAATGAAATTGTGGGTTGCCCAACTATCTATCAACACCACCACCTCTTGGTCAGTTATATCTCCTTTCATTTTCATAGTGTGACTCGGAGTGAATTCCACTACAGAGTTCAGAGAGACTTTTGCCACATCCAGATGCAACTTCTCCTCCTCTGCTTCAGACCTGCTCTCACCTCTCTCCTTGTCTTCCTCGTCTTCACATACAAGGAGAACTTGAAGAGTTCGGTCCTTGCACCTATGCTCTGGTATGTACTTTTCATCACATCTGAAGCACAATCCCTTCGTCCTCTTCTCCTGCATCTCCTTTTTCATCAGCTTTTGGAATTGCCCCCCGTTTCCCCCTCTAGTTTTCTCCTTTGGCACTTCCTTCAGACTCCCTAGTGCTGCCCGTTTTGACAGTAAGAAGGTGGTAGTCATCCTGTATGAACCCCCTGAATAGTTCCCTCGAGCCCCTCTTTCTGATTTCTTATGATCTTCCACCAACTGCGCCAGCTCTATAGTCTTCCCTAGGTTCCTCGGCTCCAGCACACTGACTACTGTTCGTATCTCAGGTTTAAGCCCCTTCATGAAGTTCCCTTCCAGAGCTGACTCTGAAACATGATCTAATCTACTAGCCAAGTACTCAAACCTGTCCCGGTAATCTGCCACAGTCCCCTCCTTAGTCAATGCAAAGAATTGCTCATAGAAGTCTCCTCCCTCATCTGCTCGGAAACGCTCTAATAAACAATCTTTGAACTCTCTCCAGCTCCAGATGGGCTCCCTCCTGTCACGCCACTGATACCATGCCAAGGCTTTTCCTTCCAAACACAATCCCGCCTCAGTCAGCTTCTCTTCCTCCGTCAACCTGTTGATAGCAAAGTAACGCTCCACCTAGTAGATCTAGCCATGGCCGTCTTCACCCTCAAAGACGGGCATCTTCAGCTTTCTCACCTGTGGGTCTAACCCGTTTCCCCTGAATCCT